TACCATAGTTTGTTTATCCATTCATCTGTTGATGGGCATCTAGGTTGTTTCCATCGTTTTGCTATTGTGAACAATGCTGCCATGAACATAGGTGTACCTATGTCTATTTCTCATAATTTCTTACGTAAAGATTTGACAATTTATTTGTATGCCTCTCATGGACAAATTCATAATTGCTAAACTCTCATAGAAGCATAGAATTGTAAGAGACGTTATATTATCCTTCCATTGTACCGTTAATATGTTTTTTACTTTATATGACAAGTGTGTTTTTTGAGGTGTCTGGCTGAGAGGTGTAATAGGATTTTCTGTGTATTTTTATGAGACCTATTAGATTCCAGATTTTGCTTATTTGAAGAAAATTGAAATTGGAAAAACTTTTTGCATAATAACTTTATTGTTACCAAGTAATTAAAAAAAATTCTCTTTGTTCTCCTTTTTAGATTCTAAGTTATATGTATTTCAATTATATAGGAATTTATTATTTTATCTGAGCTTTGTGTGTTAGCTTTGTGAACCTTTTCTTAAAAAATATCCCAGGTTTTTAGAATATTTGATATTTTCTCTCATGTTTAATTCTTTCTTATTTAATAATCACCAAAATATTTATAAATGCCCATAATATACTAGAAAATGTCTGTAAAAGTACAGTCGTACTCACCATGTTATTATTTCTGTTTTAAAATGACAACCATAAATTCATGACAGTGTATCAGTTTGAAAACATTCTCATCAAAAGCTGGTGAAGGAAAAAAAAAAAGATCAATATTATTTTTAGTGCACATTCTGAAATATTAAAACAGAAAGTCATCAAAGCCGTATGTATTCTAACATAATCAAGATCTGGAAACTTAATTTACCGTTGGATTAGGTGGCGGTTGTTGTCAGTTGGCATCAAGTCAACTCTGTGTCATGTCGATCCCATGAGTGCATAGTAGAACTGCTCCCATAAGGTTTTCAAGACTGTGACCTTTCGGAAGCAGATCATCAGGCCTGTCTTCCAAGGCGACTCTGGGTGGTTTGAACCACCAACCTTTTGGTTAGTAGTTGAGTGCTTAACCTTTTGCACCACCAAGGGACTTCTGGATTAGGTGGATGCTCCTCTAATTCCTAGTATGAGAATACTGTGATTGAGTTGTTTTTTACCCAGATTCTTATTGAAATAAAATATTTGAAGTAATTATCAGAGAAGTCAAACTTTTATAATTAGATAAGGCACACAGTTACAATACTATAAAATAGAACTTTACCAGAAATCCATAGGTGTGATAGGTTCTGTGTTGTGTAGGTTAAATGCTGATACATATACAAGTGGCTTTCAAAAATGACCTATGGTGTGAATGGTTTTAATCTGGCTGTCTCCACAGTCCAGTCATCCTTTACTTCAGTTGTATACCTAAGTATTCTTTGTTCTTGGTTCCCATTCTGTACCATGGAATTTTGCCACATCCCTAGTGACCCATGGCTATTAGTTTTGGCTGTTTACTAACAGAACCATTTCTTTCATCTTAGTCAGAATCTGTTTGTTAATTATGGATACAGATTTGGATGGTCTTATAAGTTATTTTTCAAATTAGGACACTTTTGAAAGTAAACAGAGGTGCTATTAATACAGCACCAGTCAAGCCAGGATGTAAGTTGCCCTAGTAATCTTAGTTACTGTGTCTTCAAGACCCCCAGTTTCCACCTCTGCTTATCCAGGTGTGACCCTGTGTGCACTTAAACATTGGCCAACTTGCTTATGCAACTTTGG